AACTTGAGCTAGGTTAGCTGTGTAGGATTGGCCAAAAAGGCAGTAATTAATGCATCAAGAGGGAAGGGAAGGGCCTTTGGAGCCAGTGTGATTTTACTCAAGTCCTTGCTTCTAGTTCACACCATTCCCTTTCAATTTTTGGCTCTCCCCCCCCCCCCCCCCAACCACATTCGTGGAGCCTGGGTACTGTCCCTGAGCTCTTCAGCTCAAGGCTAGTGTTCTACCACTTGAGCCACATAGCCACTTCCAGCTTTTTCTGCGTATATGGTGCTGAGGAATCGAATCCAGGGCCTCATGCATGAGAGGCAAGCACTGTACCACTGAGCCACCTACCCAGCCCTTTTTGGAACTTTTTTGGGACAAAGTTTTGATATATTTGTTGCCCAAGCTGTCCTTGGACACAGACTCTACTTGCCTAAACCTCCCAAGTAGCTAGGATTACAGGCATGTGCTACCATGCTAAGACTTTTGGCTGGATCCATGACTCAAAAATGTAGAATGCTTACCTAACAGGTACAAGGCCCTGAATCCAAATTTCTGGACCACATGAAAACACTTCTTTAACTTACAGGGTATCACAGTTGTAGGTGGTTTATAACTATCAATTGTTGCTGTACATGTACTGAATATTTGTTTTCCTATAGATGGAAAATACTTATCTTCTGTTGTTTTTCTCAGTGCTGGATAGCAAGGTAGTTTGCACAAATGTTAAGGAAACTATAGTTCTAGCTGTAGTCAGTAGTAGTCACCTTAGAAGAATGGCCTTCTGGCATTTCAGTAACTAAATCCCAATGGCAGAGATCCACCGTGGATGTGCTACAGATTAAATTTCTTTCCACAATATAATAGTATAATACTCTGGTGTCCATGTAATTTCACAGAACAATGTGCATTTTAAAGTTCTTGTTTGATTAGGTAATATGTGCAGATGGTATGGAATTCCTCCTACGTGAAGGAACACTCCACCTCATCCTGTAGCCACCGGCTCATCTCCCTGGAGATGGTCATGGTCCCAGACTCTTCTGTAGACTCCCAGAGATCATCTGTGTTGATCAAGAGTAGCTCCTTGGAGATTTATAATAATAAGGTGGTGTCCACACAACTTTACCTGTTGGTTTTCTTCTTGTTTTTTGAACTATTTTGAGTACTATCAGTACTTATAGCTACATCCTGCATACATGAACTATAATATATATAGCTATCCCTCTCTCATGGGCATTTAGATTGTGATAGCAAAAACAGAAGGAAAAAATATTAGCAGATGAAAGAAAAGTATGAGGGATGAACTCTGTCAGGGATGCTTTGCTAATTTGCAGCAGCAATTCCTTGGTGTAATATCTGTCTCTCAGAATAGTTGTCACAGCATTTCACTGGGATGGCAGGCACTCAGCTGCAAAATCTATGTAAGAAAAGCACATGGATCTCAGTCCTTCAGTACTTCAAGATAAATACCTGCCCTTGGGCCTTGTAGTCCTATAGGCAAGGTGTCCTATACATACAAGATAGCCCATGGGTTTTATCATCTCAGGCCTTCAGCTGTGATGATGTCATTGGAGACCCTATGCCTGAGACAACTCTGTCAGATACGAGGATCATCTCCTGGAGGCTAGTGATCTCCCCTTATCATAAGGTACAAGGAGAGGCCAGTATCTTTCCCTGACAGACAAAACAGATCATTAGGACTATAAACATTATTTATTCCACTTTATTGTATTTAGATTATGTAACTTCAATTTTGTTAAAAATTCAGTCTACCTACTTAGTACTGATAAATTGATAAGTATTAGACTTTTTTTTTGCGGGGGGGGGGGGGGGTCCCGTCATGGGGCCTGAACTCTGGGCCTGGGCGCTGTCCCTCAGCTCTTCAGCTCAAGGCTAGCACTCTACCACTTGAGCCACAGCACCACTTCCGGCTTTTTTTTTTCTGCTTATGTGCTGAGGAATCGAACCCAGGGCCTCATGCATGCAAGGCAAGTGCTCTACCACTGAGCCACCTTCCCAGCCCATAGACTTTTTAAGTGTCAAAAATCCAATATAGTTGGCAGGTGCTCTACCCTTAAGCACTTTTCCTGAGCCACACTCCTAGCCTTTTAAAAAGTTTTTTAAAACTTTTATAAAGTTTAAAGATGGTTGATACAATTATAGTTTTGAGAGTGATGTGAAATGAACATACCTTTAACTTGTTTTCCTTGTTCAAATTATGGCCTGAAACCTTTGGAGGAGAAAGTAAAACATTGAAATTTTTCTACATGAAATATTTTTTCACAAAAGAAGCCTCCCACATTTATACAATACACGCTGTACTGAGGAAAGGAACTAGCAGACTGCCTTTGTACTTCTATTGTGGACATAGGTCTAGTCAGTCTTAACTGTTGCAAATATGTCCTCTTGTCATATTTACATAAGAACTGATTTCATGGACAGGTTCTGGAGTCTAAAATTATCAGGACAGTTTCTTTATGTCTTCTATTAGGATATCTTGTTTTGACAATGAGAATCCTTCACTGCATTCAAAAAAATAGATAGCTTGGTTGATAGGTTGAGAGGATGGGTGGGGGCAGAGGCTGGAGACACGACTTAGAAGTAGAGTACCTACCTAACAAGAGTGGAGTCCTTGGCTGGGTTATAACTTAGTGGGAAAGCACTTGCCTAGCAAGTACAACGTTCTGGGTTTGATCCTCAGTACCAAAAAAGAAAAGAAAAGAAAAAAAAAGAGTAGAGCCTTGAGTTAGTTCACCAAAAAAAGAAAGAAAGGGAGGGAAGCAAGCAGGCAGAAACCAACAATAGTGTCTCTTTAGAGACATTACGTTTTGCTCATGTGTAAGTGTAACTGTATCTTAGATATAGAATTGTTAGGTTGAAGAGACACGCATTTAAAATTTTGGATAGCCTTAATCTCCCCCACCCCCGACCCCCATGCAAAAGGAATCATTTACTCCTGTAGCAGTATGTAAGAGTGCCAACTTGTATGTAATTTGCCCATAAGCTGCTTTTAAAAAAGCAGCTTATATGGGCTGGGTACAATGATTCAAGCCTATAATACTACCTGCTTAGGAGGCAGAGATTGGGGAGTCCATGGTTCTTGTCCACTTGGAGCATAAAAGCTTATGAGACTATCCCAATCAATAGCTGAGCTTAGTGGCACACATCTGTTATTCTAGTATAGAGGAAGCACAGTGACTAGTGTAGTGTCATACACCTGTCAACCCCAGCAACAAAAGGAAGCACAAGAGAAATCCATGTTGTCTTCAACATAAAGTGAGACCATATCCCAAAAATAACTAAAGCAAAAAGAGGCTAGAGGTGTGGCTCCCCCCAATTTTTTGTGTATTTTCTTTTTTTTGGTCAGTCGTGGGCCTTGAACTCTGGGCCTGAGTGCTGTCCCTCAGCTCTTCAGCTCAAGGCTGAAGGCACCCTACCACTTGAGCTACAGTGCCACTTCCGGTTTTCTGGTGGTTTATTGGAGATAAGAGTTTCATGAGCTTTCCTGCCTGGGCTGGCTTTGAACTGCAATCCTCAGATCTCAGCCTCCTGAGTAGCTAGGATTATAGGCGTGAGCCACCGGCACCCAACTTGTGTGTTTTCTTTAAACTAATTTTTCCCAAGTGTCCATTTCTTATTTTTATCTTGATTTTACTCCTTTGGCCTTAGAGAAAGTTTTCATTTTTCTAGTCATTCTTTTTTAAAGTATCTCCGAAGTTTTTCATGCTTGGAAAAGATTTTTTTGATATTACTTATTTTTAAACCTTTGTTGCTTCTGATCCTTACATGTTTCTCCATATATATATATATATATATATATATATATATATATATATATATATATTTAGCTTAAGCTGTGAGAAAGGCATGCAGTTTTGTTTTAGATGATGCCACCCCCCCCCCCATGGTTTTATTTATTAGTCATTAACTTTGTCGTTGATTTGGGATTCTGCTGTATTATATATTAATTTACATATTTGGGCTTACTACAGGACTTTTCATTTGGTCCCATCCCAGGACAGGGTTACACACCACTATAATGATGTTTAAAGTACCTTACCTATAAGGACTAGTCCAGGTTTCACTTTTTTGAAAAACTTTACTGATTACTTCTGCTTAAACAGTGTTTTTAGTTGTTTTATCCTATTGTTATTTTATGATTATTGTATTAATATATAGCTAGGGTCATTTAAAACTTGATTATTTTGCTCCTTATATTGCTTTCCTATTTTAGTAGGCATGTTTCATACATCCATTGTTAATATTCATAAGTGAAAACCTTTTGATTCTTTATTACTGTTTATGTTGTGTGTGGGAGTGTTATCTTAGAAATAATTTTAAGACATCCTTATTTTTTTCTTTTAACAAGCTGAAGAATAGTTGTGCTTTTTATTTGTCTGTTTGTTGGTTTTTTTGTACAGGTTCTGGGGCTTGAACTCAGGGCCTGGGTGCTGTCCTTGAGCTTCTTTGCTCAATGCTAGCATTCTATCACTACTCTACTTCGAGCTTTTTGGTGGTTAATTGGAAATAACCACTTTTCCCAGGCTAGCTTTAAACCGTGATCCTCAAATTTCAGCCTCTTGTGTAGCTAGGATTACAGGCATGAGTCACCAGCACCTGGTGTGTGCTTTCTGTTTTGTTTTTATTTTCTTGTAGTGCTGGGGATGTAACCCAAGGATGCTAGGCCAGTGCTTATTCCACTGAGCTACATCCCAGCCCCTGTGGAACAACTGAAATGTTGTTAGTATTAGTCCTTAAAGGTGTGAATTCAAAGGTAGAATTCACTTTTCAAGTTGCATCATGTTCTTACTATTTGGAAGAGCCTACTTAGTGATTTATTCTATTTTTCCTACTGTAATCAGTCTGTTTTCTCTTTTAAAACCTGTTTTGGTAATTGCTATTTTCCTTGAAAATAAGCCATTTTATTGGCTTATTTTAAATGTGTGTAATAGTGAACATAACTTTCTCTTTATTTTGTATTCTTTATTATGTTGGTTTCTTTCATTTTTTTTCTGCAGGAACAGGAAACATAGTGGTCATTATGATTAGCTACCCAAAAGGACGAGAAATTTTGGATTTGGTGCAAAAAGGAATTGCAGTAAAAATGACCATAGGGATTGGCACCCGGCACATGCAGGAGTTTATCAGCGGTCAGTCTGTGGTGTTTGTGGCCATTGCCTTCATCACGATGATGATTATCTCATTAGCCTGGTTAATATTTTACTATATACAACGTTTCCTATATACGGGGTCACAGTTTGGAAGTCAGGTAATTATGGATAACTGTTAGTTTTGCATTTAAAAAAGGTAGTTCATGTATTCAATTTTATATTGGACCACATTACTTTCATTTTTAATTAGGATATTGAAGTATTTTATGACTTTTCGTGTGTATGTGCCAGTATGGGGTCTTGAACTCAGGGCCTTGCGCTCAAGCTTGGCTTTTTCTATTCAAAGTTGGCATTCTACCACTTGGGCTACACACCTCCAGTCTTTCTCTTTGCTGGTTGTTTTGAGGATAGAGGCTATGAACTTTTCTATCCAGGCTAAACCATGGTCGTCCAGATCTTAGCCTCCTGGGTAGCTAGAACTACAGACATAAGCCATTAGTACCTGACTTAAAATACTTTCAATAAAAAGGACCTTAAGTGATATGAATGTTGTATATATTAACACTTAAAATAAGCTGGATATGATAGCATATACCTGTAATCCTAACTGGTGAGGCTTAGGCAAAAGGATTATGAATTTGAGGCCAACCTAAGCTGCAGTCAGATCCTGCCTGAAAAAAAGAACTTAAAATGCTTATTCGAGGGTGTGTGTTTGCTTAAGTTATTTTTAGAGTGGTCATTTGCTTTTCTTAAAAATTTTAGTCCATATGTTTGTTTACATTATGTCTGACTTTTAAAAAATAATTATTTAAAATTTTCAATAATACCTTCCTTCCCCAGGGCCATAGGAAGGAAACTAAAAAAGTTATTGGCCAGCTTCCACTTCATACAGTAAAACATGGAGAAAAGGTAATATTTTCATGATGCTTTGTTGTGTTTTGTTTTGCTTACAACTTAGACTAGACAGTATTTATTTTGAAAAATATTGTCCTTCTAGTACAGTAACGAGTATGTAGAGCTTTGGTGAATTTAAGTTAGTATTAACTTCCATGAATGTGCTTATTTTAAAGGATTGGCAGAAATGCCATGGGTAAAGAGCCTTCAAGAAGAGTAACACCTACAGCTGTCCACTATGACAGCCACAGGTCACATATGGGGAGGGGTTGGAGCTGGAGCTCAGTGGTAGAGCATGTGCTTGGCATAAACAAGGTCTTGCATCTAACTACTGTCACTCCCACCCTCAAAAAAAAAAAAAAGTAAAATGAATGATGGAAATGTGTAGTAGTCGTTCTTGTATTGTCTTTTGTGCTGTGAAATGTGGCTGTACTGCCTTGCAGAGGCTTCATTTAGTTCTTTTCATTTTATCTCATTTAGCCTCACTTAGCCCAGCTTTTGACTTAGAGACTCCAGTCTCTATTCCTCCTCAAGAAAAAGAAACTTGCATTTATGCCATAGCTCTTCCTTTGCTATACTTGAAGTATTAAACTAACAGTGACACACTGAATTACAGACCTTTACATTTGAAAAAATTGGAATCTGATATTAATGGCTCATGGCTTAATATTCCTACTCCTGGGATTGTGTTGGTGGCTATCATTCCTAATAACTGCCACATTGTAGTACAATGGAATTTTAATACTTTGTGCAAGATACCAATTTCTTACGATGCATTTATTAAACAGAAAAAAATAAAAGTAAAAGGTCACTTTTACTTTTAAAATGGGCATCTGGGCTGGGAAGGTGGCTCAGTGGTAGAGCGCTTGCCTTGCATGCCTGAGGCCCTGGGTTCGATTCCTCAGCACCACATAAGCAAAAAGAAAAAAGCTGGAAGTGGCGCTGTGGCTCAAGTGGTAGAGTGCTAGCCTTGAGCTGAAGAGCTGAGGGACAGTGCCCAGGCCCAGAGTTCAGGCCCCACGACCGGACCCAAAAAAAATAAAATAAAATGGGCATCTGGTTTACAAATCATCTGGGGATGAGTGTCTTGTTAATGCCTGTGGCAAATTCTGTATACATCTGCGTAGCTAGTCGCTTGATATGCACCTGGTTTTATATTCCTTTTGCAACATGCTGTTGCTCCTCAGCAATTTCAGTCCCTACTCAAGAGAAGACACAAATGCAGATGTGTAATTTACCAATTCAAGTCTTTAAGAATAGAAGTAAATTGAGGCTATCTTCTTTCCAGATAGAACACTTTTGAAAATATGCTACCAGGGACTATTTTTTTAAGTTGTTAAAATAGTAGTTTAGTCCATAAGTGGTCCAAAAAAGTATGTACAAGGATATTCTAGTTTACATTTTAAGCTTGTACAAAAAAAAGCGTTTTCCCTAGTCTACCTTAGCTCTGGAAACTGGTGTTTTGTTTTTTAATTTGTCTTGTCTTTGACTTCACTCATAGTAATATGAAATCTTACAGGTAATTAGGGACTTTGATAATGCTTTCATCATTTTTTTTTTTTTTTTTGGGGTCCGGTCATGGGGCCTGAACTCTGGGCCTGGACGCTGTCCCTCAGCAATTCAGCTCAAGGCTAGCGCTCTACCACTTGAGCCACAGCACCACTTCCGGCTTTTTTCTTTTTGCTTATGTGGTGCTGAGGAATCGAACCCAGGGCCTCAGGCATGCAAGGCAAGCGCTCTACCACTGAGCCACCTTCCCAGCCCCGCTTTCATCATTCTTGCATGGCATGATAAATGAGTGACAGTATTTTTGTTGTATCATGTAATTTAAAATACTGCTCTAAATGTAATTTAATGCAGTCTTTGATAATTATCTCCAGATATGAAACTAAGCTTTTACTGCTTCCTTATTAATAAGTGGTACATATGGCTAAGTATGTTTTTAAATAATTACACTTAAATAATTATATTTAAATAATGTCTGTGTGTCATTAATGACTTGCAAATGTTTCAGGCATACAGGCACACCTTGATTGAGTTTCTGAACCTCTAGGGGTCTCAGAACCCAGCCTGACTTGGGCCAGATGACCACTGTGACCCAGGCTGCTTTTGTTGATAGAACAGGACCCAAGTGGTTAGATCCAGAGGCTGCCAAGAGAAATGAGGAGGGCTGCGCCCACTGAAAAGATCTATGACCTATATATAGATGCTTCAAAGTAGAAATTTTGCCAGGAGCAGATGGCTCACACCAATGATTCTAGTACTCAGGAGGCTGAGATCTGAGGATCATGGTTTAAAGCCAGTGTGGGCAGGGAAATCTGTGAGACGTTTCTTATCTCCAATTATCCGTTAAAAAGCCAGAAGTAGGGCTGGGAAGGTGGCTCAGTGGTAGAGCGTTTGCCTTGCATGCATGAGGCCCTGGGTTCGATTCCTCAGCACCACATAAGCAGAAAAAAAAAAAAAAAGCCGGAAGTGCGCTGTGGCTCAAGTGGTAGAGTGCTAGCCTTGAGCTGAAGAGCTGAGGGACAGCGCCCAGGCACAGAGTTCAGGCCCCACGACCGGATCCAAAAAAAAAAAAAAAAGCCAGAAATGGAGCTGTTGCCTAAGTGGTTGAGCAGTAGCCTTAAGCAAAGCTCAGAGACAGCATCTAGGTGCTAAGTTCAAGCTCCAAAACTGGCACCAAAAAAGTAGAAATTTTGTCAGTAAGGATTGAAGTCAGAACCTCTCAGTTGCTAGGAAGGTACTCTACCACTTGAACCATTCCTTCAACTTCTTTAAGGGGGAGAGTAGTACTACAGTTTGAACTCGAGTCCTTATATTTGCTAGGCAAGTAATCTACCACTTCAGTTCTACCAGCCCTAAATTATTATTTGTTGTTGTTGTTTTGCCAGTCCTAAGGGTCTGGGCACAGTCAGTGAGCTTCTTTGGCTCAAGGCTAGCACTCTACCACTTGAACCACAGCACCACTTCCTGCTTTTTCTGTTTATGTGGAACTGAGGAATCAAACCAAGGGCTTCATGCATGATAGGCAAGCACACTAAGCACATTCCCAGCCTTATATTTGTTTTTAAAAAAGAACCCTGGGGCTGGGAAGGTGGCTCAGTGGTAGAGTGCTTGCCTTACATACATGAGGCCCTGGATTCGATTCCTCGGCACCACATAAGAAAAAAAAAGCCAGAAGTGGCGCTGTGGCTCAGGTTGTAGACTGCTAGCCTTGGGTTGAAGAGCTGAGGGACAGTGCCCAGGCCAGAGTTCAGGCCCCACAACCAAGAAAAATAAAAAATAACCCATAACACTTAATATTTAATACTTAAGAATTGTTAATGCCTGATTAGGCAGATGTTGGATGTTTTTCCTTTCATTTAGATTTCTTAGATAATTCCTTGGTAGCAATAAGAAAAAATACAAAGTGTAATTACCTCTGTTGGCGTTTTAGGTTGTTCAGCCAGTAAAGTATAGAATTCATCGTTGTTCTAGTCACAATGTAGTACATTTATCAAGAATATTCTGTATATTAATCTCTTTCCTCCTCTTACAGGGAATTGATATTGATGCAGAGAATTGTGCAGTGTGCATTGAAAATTTTAAAGTAAAGGATGTTATCAGAATCCTGCCATGCAAGTATGTTCTTTTTGCCCACTGAGATATACAAAATAGCTTGACAGGTATCAGAATTCTGAGTACAAATTCCATATCTTTTCTCATATAAAGTTCTTGCTATCTTTGATCATATCATCTTTCAGAAAAGAGACTTTGGTTTTTATATGGTTTTCAATAAAGGCTTTTTAAAATTGCTTTGATTAGATCTTAGGTACCCATTAAGACCCATTATACATCTTGGTCATAAACTTGGCTTCTAGCCAACAGCAAGGCTTCACTGAAATCCTAGAAACCCATTATACACTTAGCAATACAGAAAATACTGTGATAGAAGCAAAGAAGCAGAAGCCAGACCATTGAGAAATCAGAGGAAAGGCCTGGAATGAGAGCCAGAAGCCAATCAGGAATGGCTTACTGTTACTTGCACCCTGGGTTTGTGTTTCTTTTAAGGCTGTATAAAACAAATATTATTCCTTGTACTTAAGTTATAGTAATTCAGGTTCAGTTTCTGGCAACAGGAAGTTGCAACTTCCTTTTTTAATAACAGGCTACTTTAATAATAACTTTAAAAAAGAATTGCTATGTTAGCAGAAAGGTTTATTTTGGGTATAGAAATTAGATGTTTTAATTCTAGTCATTTTCAGTTACACTACACATTTTTGGAAGCAAAAAATTAATATAATGCTCTGGCTTTATTTGCAGAGTATTTTAGGATATGTATGTTCTTTATGGTAGAATAAGTTCTTGGTTACTCTGAAGGAAATAAAGCAACTGTATCAAAATAACCAAATAAAAGTTTCCTGAGTTTAATATGCTGCTTTTAAAACCTTTGGCATTTATACAGGGTTGGCACAGTGAATACTTAGTGAATTGGGGTTAGTATAAGTTGATCATTTCCTGTAGAATAAGTTGATCATTTCCTGTAGAAAATTGTGAAAGTAGAAAAAGAAAACTGTTCTCTAGGCTGAGTAGAGCAAGTCTTTAATTACAAATGATGCTCAGGATGCTGCACACTTGAGCAGCACTAGATATGTGCTGATGGCTAAGCTGGGATTTTTATGTGGCTTTCAAATGCCAGATGAGTTGCAGTGTACATTTCCTTGCCTACTTATTGGGGTTGTTACTCCTCCACATTCTTTCCTGAGCTTTATGGTGTAGCACATTCCCCAGTAGCGCCAGTATATTTAGTTGTTCATTTGTTTTTGTAAAATTGCTCTTTTTGGTCATTAAGTTTGGGTTTGAGAATGGAAAGGTCAAAAGACAGATTGGACTAGACTGTTAAGTGATTAAGAATTGGTATTTTTAGCTAGGCACTGGTGACTCTGTAATCCTAGCTACTCAGGAGGCTGAGATCTGAGGATCACAGTTTGAAGCCAACCTAGGCAGGAAAGTCCATGAGACTCTTAATGCCACTAAAGTGCCCAAAGAAAGCAAGAAGTGGAGCAGTGGCTCAAGTGATAAAGTGCTAGCCTTGAGTTCAGGCCCCAGGACCAGCACAAAAAAAGAAAAGAAAAAAAATTGGTATTTTTAATTGCACTGGTAGGCTTATTTTGCAGAAAACATTTTGAAAGGATACTAGTAACAATGAACACTTACTAGAGATGTTCTGTGCCTGGCATATATTGTGAACATAATGTGTGTCACTGAAAGCAGGTGGTGGTATAGATTCACAACCAGCTAAGGTTCCTGTGGTCATGGCAGTTCTGACACACAGCCAGTGTTTGAGTGCAACCAGCCTGGCTCCAAACCCCATATTTTAACAGCTTATCTCACATGGGAAGTAAAGTTAGGAAAGACAGATGGGAAAAAAAAAAATTAGATATGCCCTTATAAGAAAATTCTGATGAGCTAGGCATCTGTGGCTCACACCTATACTCCTTGCTACTCAGGAAGCTGAGATCTTAAGATGGTGGATCAAAATCAGCTTGGGCAGGAAAATCCATGAGACTCTTAATGGCGCCAGTAGCTGTAATCCTAGCTACTCAGGAGGCTGAGATCTGAAGGTCATGGTTCAAAGCCAGCCCAGGCAGGAAAGTCTGTGAGACTCTTATCTCCAATTAGCCACCAGAAAACTGGAAGTAGCGCTGTGGCTTATGTGATAGATCACTCGCTGAAGAGCTGAGGGACAGCACCCAGGCCCAGAAGAGTTCAAGCCCCACAACCGACAAAAAAAAATAAACTACCAAAAGGTAGAAGTGAAGATGTGGCGCAAGTGGTAGAGTCCTAGCCTTGAGCACAAAAGCTCAGAGACAGTATTTAAGCCCTGAGTTCAGTCCTGAGGACTGGCACCCAAAAAAAAAACAACAAAAAACAAAAACCTGATTATAGGTTGAATGACAACGGCTCATGCTGTAATCCTAGCTATTCGAGAGGCTGAGATCTAAGGATTGAGGTTCAAAGCCAGCCTGGGTTGGAAAAATTTACCACCAAGAAGATGTAAAATAGAGCTGTGGCACAAGTGGTAGAGTGCCAGCCTTGAGCAAAAAATAGCTCTGGGGCAGCGCGCATCCAGGCCCTGAGTTCAAGCCCCAGGACTGGCGCCAAAAAACAAATCCTGATGATAGGTATTCATTACAGAAAAAGGGTATATAAAAATGTGTAAGGGAGAAAACAAATGTTTTTTAAGTCTGTCTCTAAAGATGATTGTTAATATCTTACTGTATTTCTATTTGAATTGTTTTATGGACTTAAAAAGATACTACTAATTTAGTATTAATTACTGTTGTCTCATTATGCCACATTTATTTTCAAAAGGCTTATAAGTAATTTATTAAGGAATATAAAAATGTATACCTGGCATGTAGTAGAAATAAGGCATGCCATTTTTATGTAGAGAAAATTTCACTGAAATCCTGAATTCCACTTAATTGGGAAATAGATAATAAGTTACTAGACTGAAGTGTTGTTTTGACATTGGCTAACTGATATTGAAGAATTAAGTTGGTAGAATGTCTTATTTCCTTTGTAAGATATACAAACATTTATTTTAAAACATTAACACATACTTAATTTTTTTAGGCATAGTTTTCATAGAATATGCATTGACCCTTGGCTTTTGGATCACCGAACATGTCCAATGTGTAAACTTGATGTCATCAAAGCCCTGGGATATTGGGTTTGTTACATTTTTGTTTATATTCAATCTCTGCCCGTTTTTCCCGTGTTTCAAGTAGTAGTGTCAGGCTTGAGTGAAAAAGTCAAGCAAGAGCATGAGTCCATGAGTTCAATCCCCAGTACTAGCACCATAAAAACAAAAAAGAATTCTTAAAGTAGTCCAGAGAATTAGGGAACTTAAATTTATGATAGACTAATATAATTCTTGATATTAGTTCTCCCTGCCCATAATTTCAGGATTCAGCAATGCTGCTTTAATTTTAGCCCATTAGTTTGTAATGCTTTGATGATCAGGAACATTTCTCAGGAGATGCAGAAGAAAATGAAAGTGTTGCTCAGAGTAGCTAGCCCTGTGTGAAGGCCTTGAATGCTGTTTCCATTAGATCTGTATAACCTGGGTGTAAAATCACAGTTTCTAGGTTAGAAAATTAAGCTGAGAATTGTTGTGACTCATTGCAGGTCACACTAGTTTATAGGGAGCCAGCTTTCAAACACAAGTTTACTTAATTCTAGTGCCCAAGTTCTCTACTCAAAAAGGAGGGACACAGAGGAAAACCTGATTTTTCTAGGTTTTTAAAAATTACTATTTTAGTCTTCATGTATTATGGTAATATCTCAAAAGCTTGATATAATATTTCTTTTAACCTTTGGGAAAAAATAGCTTGAACATCAAATTTTTCTAAGTAAAATTGCTAGTCAATAGAATTCTCTGTAGAAACTGCAGAAAAAAAATTTTAAGATAATCATTTTATACATCTGAAATTCTTCCTAGCCATGTGAATTTCTATGATGATGCCACTGAAGCATTGGCCTATGAACATTACAAGACTATTACTTCCCGTGCTGCAGATCTGCAAAATACTTCTCACTTTCTAGCTTAGCCTGCCTTCAGAAAATACTGAGACCTTTCCTTATGGCTCCTGAAATGCTGTAAAGTGTCTTATAAGAGGCTGAACCTTGAAATCTAGCATTTCAAATGACAACACAACAAATGAAGTTGTCATTTCAAATGACAACTTCACAGATCTTTTTCTTGGCTAAATCTCAGAACTCTCTTCCTTTCTTAGGTACTCTGAAGCGCATGCTGTTTTCTTGTTTGTCAGTAATAAGAAAACAACTTTGCTTTTTATTTCTAAACATTAGTATAAAAGGAAATTTTTCACTGACCTTAGTTTGGAAACTTCATTTTCATGTGGTTTTATTTTAGGAAATACAACTTTACTACCTTTTTGTTTTCCATCTGGTGATACTAGCCTTTGAACTCAACCTCACACATACTACTAAACTGAAGCTCTATCACTTGAGCCACATGCTGGTTCCATATATATTTTATCTATTAAAAATTAAGTCTTCTTTTTAGGTAAGACCAAGTTGTTTTTTTTTTTTAAGTTATTTTCTGAAAGCTAGAATATGTTGTCACCTGAATGCATGATTTTTTTTTTGAGGGACCAAAATCTATAGAAACTTCAAAGCTAAGGGATTTGTCTTTTAAGTATTTTAATCTTTAGATGATATGCCATTTTTCTTAGACATTCCCTCCCCTTTGGATATTTTCAACAGCTATAACTTGCTCTCTTGTAGTGACTAATTCTCATACAACTGTGGGAGAATCAGCAGCAGCTGCCATGCACATCAACTCTAAAAGCAGTCAGTCCTTTGCTTTGCACCTGTACCAGTTCACCACTTAATCACTGTTTGCATCCAGTTGACAAGCGCTGATGAAAGGAAAGCCATCTAAGGTGTTAGATCTAAACTTGGCTCTGGTGACAGAAAGATGGCTGAGACAGTGAGACACTGCTCTTCTGCTCTAGGACCTGGGGGTTTATTTTCAGGACTAATGTTGTCAGGACATGACTATAGACATAGCATGGCAAAAGAGGTAGGTCAGATGCCAAGAGCCAAGAGGAGCTCATGCTGTGTGACGGAAGTGGGAAGAGTGAGGAAACATATGCTAGAGGGGCAGCTGAGTTAGATTGCCGGTTGATGGTGATCACCTGTGGGGTGAGAAGCTGGCAGAGAACTATGCTTGGCAGATAATAGATAAACAGATTGGGTCCGGCTGAGCAGGAGATAGGACATTATGACACAATAGTCACAGGATTTGTTGCTTGTTTCATCAAGTTGTGCTTGGTGTGGGGGGGAGGGGGGGTGTTACCGTTGAGAAAGCAGGAGGAGGTTGTGGAACACAAGTAAAGGAGGCCAATAGTACCTTGGAGCCAAGAAGAGGGAAATGAGATGCCATGTGCTCGCAGCCCATTTTATCATTTTCCCATATACAACTTTGTCTTTGACATTAATTAAAAAGCATTTGTGGATGTCCCCTGAATGTTAAGGCTTTTGTGTAGTGATGCTGATCCTCCTTTTTGTTATTTTTTTAAGCAGGAAAATGAAGAGGGAGAGTCAAACTATGGCTTCTATAAGGAGAATACAGCACTGACTTAATAACAAATACCATCTAATGCCTTATGTTGTTCAGCAGCCTTGTTGCTCTATAAGCCCCAGTTTTGTGCTGTAAAACAGCACAAAGCAGTGATTAGGGCTCCTGCTGCTTCCAAAAGCAAGTAGAAGGCTGCCTCATATACTCTGTGCAAGACCACAGGACACTGAGAAAGCTGCACTTTCTGTCAGTAAATAGTTTAAAAGGTGATGATGTTTGTATCAAGGAAGGAATATTGGCTTCTGGAGAACAAAAGATGACATAGATCTTAGAAATCTGATGATTGAGACGTAACTCTTTTCTAGTGGTGCTGGATAAAGGAAGCACTGGCACACTGCACTACTAACCAGATTGAGTGTAGAGAGGTAATGATATCTCAATGGATTTCAAGCAAGATGACCAGGATAAAGTGATCGTGTTGCTTAGGAAGATGTCTTCTCTCCTATTCTCAAGGGAGAATCTGAGGATGGACAGGAACTGCCCTCTCCAGAATCTGCCCCTGTCAGCATCTCTGCTGGGAATTTGAGTGTGACCTTCCAGGATGAGGACAGGAGCAGCGTGAGCAGCCCACTGTCATCTGCCACTAGTGAATCCACACCACCGTGCCCTGCCAGTTTGAAAGAAGATGTAGGAGAAGACACAGCATTACTAGGTAGGTAGCAGTCATCAGTAGTTGGATGAAATCTATAAAATGCAGAAAAGCATTCAGTAATCAAGTGAAAACCATAGTCCGTCCCACAGCTAGAGGTACCATGTCAACATTTTGATAAATCCTTTCCTAGGTATTTTTCTCTGCTCAATGATGAGGGAATATATCACTATTCACTGTTGGGTAGCCCTCTTTGTTTAAATGGACATTATCAGTAACCTCTTGAAATAATCATGTTGGACATATTTACCACTTATCTCACTGTTATTCTGATAGGTAAAGTGTATGTTTTGTTAGATAAGGTACCTCTTTATATTTGTTGGTCAATTCTTATGAATTGTTCATTTATCCCTCACTGCTTTTCTGTTGTTGGAGGTTGGGTTTTTATATATTTATTAATCTTTTTAGTTCTTACCTTATTTTTCTGAAGTGATAATTAATTTTTTTGTTGTTTTTTTTTTGGTCCGGTCGTGGGGCCTGAACTCTGTGCCTGGGCGCTGTCCCTCAGCTCTTCAGCTCAAGGCTAGCACTCTACCACTTAAGCCACAGCGCCACTTCTGGCTTTTTGCTTATGTGGTGCTGAGGAATCGAACCCAGGGCCTCATGCATGCAAGGCAAGCGCTCTACCACTGAGCCACCTTCCCAGCCCCACTAATTTTTTTTTACACAAGGTTATACTATGTAGTCAAGGTTAACCTGAAACTCCCTCTCAGATAATTTCTTTATACTGATTCTTGGATATCTTTAGATATTGAAAGTAATACATCTTTCTCAAGTATTTTGTACATTTTCCCCAATTTCTTTCACATTGGTGATGGGAATGGACGTAGGGCCTGTGTGTTCTAGGCACACATTCTGCTACCGAACTTTGCTCCTGGTTTTCCCAGTTTCTGTATCCTTTGACTTCTTACTGTATTTGACAAGATAGAAATTTGTCATTTTTGTGTCTTCTGGCTTCTTGTTCTTTCTCAACTTTGCCTTTATTGAAAGATGATTTAGGAAAGTATGTCTCAAGATTGTGAAACTACTGACCTATATTTTGCTAGTATTTATTTTTTCTTTTTTGAGTCAGGGTTTTGCTATAATAGCCTACACTGGCCTCAAATCATGATCCTCCTCCTTCAGCCTCCTAATTGCTGAGATAACAGGCTTGTCTCTCCATGCCTGACTACATTTAAATTTGAATTCACATAGTTGGAGGTTGGCCCTAGAGCCTTGCTAATAAGCAAGCACTAATAGTGCAGTCCAACCCAGCAAAAATATGTTTTGATATTTGTAAGGCAGGGAAAGTCCTCTCATCTGTGTTCATCTTTTACAATTTCTGGGCTACTCTGCATTCTTTTTTTTCTTTTTTGTCTTTTCCTACTCCTGGGGCTTGAACTCAGGTCCTGGGCACTGACCCTGAGCCTCTCTGTGCTCAAGGCTAGCACTGTACCACTTGAGCCACAGATCCACTTCTAGCCTTTTCTCTTTATGTGATACTAAAGAATTGAACCCAGGGCTTCATGCATAGTAGGCAAGCACTCTACCACTAAGCCACATTCCCAGTCTCTACTCTGCATTCTTTAAAGAATACTTGTAAGATCATTTTGCCAAATAAAAGAAAATGCAGTCATTTTTGTTTAGAATTACATTAGCTTGCAAAGATTATTGTAACAGTGATTGATGCTTTCTATTTTTAATTTTGCCCTTCTGAAAGAGGGAAGCATATTTTTCCAAAGAGGGCATGTGAGACAGATAGAAATTTAAGGTAGAAATTTAAGTTTTAAATCAGTACCAGAAGGAAAAACAGTTCATTGTAAAAGAAGAAGGAAGAATGGGTTTCATAGAATGCTAAAGTTGAGTGTTGTTTTCTCTTCTCCATCTGAGACTGGACCACCTCACAAGGCAGCATAAAACATTTTTGATTTTAGGAATCCTGTTGCATTGATCCAGAATGCATTCCAATGTGAATTTTGCAATTGCCATCCAGAAAAAAAGCTAAATTATTTTCTAGAACATGAGCACACTGAGGATTTAAAGACAGAGACTCAAGCCAGACTATAGGTGGCTCATGCCTATAATCCTAGCTAATCAAGAGACTGAAATCTGAGGATTGCAGTTCAAGGCCAATCTGGGCAGGAAAGTCCTCTCAGAGTAGTGGAAAACAATAAAAATAACTATTAAAGACAAACAGATTGTGAGACATTTGGTGAAGGAATTGGATTCTCCCACTTGCCCATCTCAATCTCTGGGGCTCCCTTTTTTTTTTCCTCTTTTTTTCCTCAATTGTTCTCCTGTAAATTGACAGGTAATTTTGCCTTTAGAAAATTGGGTTAGTTTAAGCCAGTCTGAGTATTTGGCTAATATTCTCACTTAGAGCTGGGAAAACATTGCCAGCTGCTTAGGAACAATTAGAAAAGCAGTGTGTTGTCTTGAATGGTGGGCCCTGAGGAGAGTGTGTAGGCCTATTGTGTGCTTCTCCAAAGTCTAGGTGACTACCTATTTCATTCTTTAAGGAGCTGAAAGTATTTGATTCTGTATAATACTAATAAAACCATACAGAATTTAAGTGAGGAGAAAACCCGAGAGATCCTACGATAAAACAAGGTGGCTATATGGGCATTATATACTTGAAAATTACCAAATTTAAACTTTTAATTGTTCTCACAACAAATGAATAAGTATATGAGATGATGTTATGTTAATACCTTCTTTTTTTTTTTTTTTTTTTTGCTTGTCATGGGACTTGAACTCAGGGCCTGGGCACTATCTCTGAGCTTCTTTTGCTCAAAGCTAGCACTCTTACCATTTTAACCACAGCACCTCTTCAGGCTTTTTCCTGTTTATGTGGTACTGAGGAATTGAATCCGGGGCATCAGGCATGCTAAACAAGCACTCTACCACTGAGCCACATTCCCAAACTTTATGTTAATATCTTGATTCAGTCATTCCATAATGTATACCTATTCAAAACAGTATATCATATTATATGCCAATTTAAAAAGTAAAGAAAAAAGCTGGGCGCCAGTAGCTCATGCCTGTAGTCCTAGCTACTCAAGAGGCTGAGATCTGAGGATCATGGTTCAAAGCCACCCTGGGCAAGAAATTCTTTTTTTTTTTTTTTTTTTTTGTCGGTTGTGGGGCTTGAACTCTGGGCTTGGGCACTGTCCCTGCGCTCTTCAGCTCAAGGCAAGTGCTCTACCGCTTGAGCCACGGCGCAGCTTCATGGAAATTATTTTGGGGGGGGGGAGGGGGGGTATGGTCATGGCCTGAACTCTGGGCCTGGGCGCTGTCCCTCAGCTTTTCAACTAAAGGCTAGTGCTCTACCACTTGAGCCACACCGCCACTTCCAGCTTTTTTCTTTTAGTTTATGTGGTGCTGAGGAATTGAGCCCAGGGCCTTAGGCATGCAAGGCAAGCACTCTACCACTGAGCCACCTTTCCAGCCCCTGGGCAGGAAATTCTCTGAGACTCTTATCTCCAATAAACCACCGAAAATCAGAAGTGGCACTATGTCTCAAGTGATAGAGTGTTAGCCTTGACTTGAAGAGTTGAGGGGCATTGCCTAGGCCCAGAGTTCAAGCCCCAGCACGGACCAAAAATAAAAGGAAAAAAAAAAATTTAAGCTGGGAAAACAAGTTTAACCATAGGGACTGAGACACTCAGTGGCAATTTTAAGTTGACAGAATAAAGAGTACTTGCTTCTGTGCTGTTTATCAGGAAGTACTAGTCATGAGAAGTCGTTTTTGCAAAAGTAATTGTCTTTTTCTGTTGGTCATGGGGCTTGAACTCTCTGGGCCTAGGCACTGTCCCTGAGCTTGTCAGCTTAAGACAAGCACTATACCACTTGAGCCACAATACCACTTCCAGTTTTCTGAGGGTTAATGGGCATCAGAGTCTCATGGACTTTCCTGCCTGGGCTGGCTTTAAATCTCGATCCTCAGATCTCAGCCTCCTGAGTAGCTAGGATTACAGGTGTGAGCCACCGGTGCCCAGCGGCAGAAGTAATTTTGCACTACTGATTTTTACTCTCTAACTTCCCCATTTCCTGCCATCAGTAAAATGAAATAATAACCTATTAGTCCCTCCCTTATATGGGGACAGTGAATGCTAATTGGAGCTATTATTGGTGGCAGCATAGTCATAGTTTCTTGGTTTTTGAAGAATCCTAGTATCATGAGCCCAAACTGCATCTTTTTCCATGGTGCCATGCTGATCAGATAAATTTGGTTCAGCTGGTGCTAGAAATCTGTTATCCTGTGTATAAGGTAGATGTTTCCTTATTTTTCTTGTCAACTATCTCAACAATAGGTTGCCATTTTTGCATGTAAGTTTTACTTAAATGTTTGTGTCCAAATGAGTGAGTGTGTTTGTATAACTGAAGTCTGGAAAATGCTGACCAACCTGCTGATCTAGGGTGGCTTTGGTACTTTTTTGTAGAAGCTGGCCGGAGCGACCTTCAGTGTGGAGGACCAGCCTGCTAGCACCCATCTTCACTGATGGCATCACCAACACAGCCTTGGCTTGAACTAAAGGACATTTTATTTTTTTACTTTAGTGTATAGTTTGTATGCTTGAAAATAATGTACATTATTTTACCTTTCAGGTTGATAAACAAAGGGCTAAGATAGTTTATTGTTAAAAAGACCTTTTGATTAGTCTTTATATATTTATCTATTAAAATACTGTGTTTACAATAAACTTGTTTTAGACTGTCACAAAAGACAACACCTAGGGAAGATATTTTAATGTGGAGAACAGGTGTTATTTCTAAATTCTAGACTAGCTACTGTGGTACTGTAACAAGATTAATTCTATTTCTCAAGCTTTTTAAACAAAATAGACCTATTTTTACACTATTGAAGTAGAATTATGTGATTATAGTAATTGATCAGATGGGCTTTCCCTGGAGGAAAGACTATTTTAGAACTTTAAACTTCTGAGTTGAGCAATCTTTCTAAATATAGTGGAGTAGTCCTGTAATCCCAGTTTTGGGAGGCTGAGGCAGGATGGTCCAGAATTTGAGCAAAAAGAAGACACTGTCTCAAAATGAAACATTGATGGGGGCAAATCTCAACTTGCTTGCACATATCTGTTTTGTACGTAGAAACTTTAAAACCTGAGGACATGTTTCCATTGTTTGGAGCTGTGGGAAAAGCACTAGCTGACATAGGATTTACATTTTTCCCTTTATTACTTCATTGGAGACCTTGATGGGAAGGGAAATTTGTCCACTTTTTCCTGCAAACCCAAGATTCTTGTATTGCACATTAAGAACATTAAAATCTTCATTAAGAAAACAAGTATAAATTTGTGATTTTTCTTAACAAAGAATATGCTTTACTGGTTCTCTTAATCTTAAAAGGGTAATAGTTGAATAGTTCTGATGTTGTTGGAGTAAAGGAACAGTTTTCTTGACTCGTTTTTAAGCAAACTCAATACCATGACCTTGTCTAATCATTTATCCTTTTCTACTCATTTGCTGTTCTTATTTGTAGGTCAGAGGTACAGCCTTCGGAGATGGTTGCCTAAGCTCTGCCCTTTCCTTACTTCCTGGAGGTTAAAGTCAAGGACTATTGACTTTAAGACACTTTATATATTTATTTTATTTTTTGTTGGTACTAGAGCCATTAGTTTTTGCTGTTGTTCAAAGCTAGCACTCTACCACTTGAACCATACCTCTACCTGCAGCTTTTTGATGGTTAATAAAAGTCTGTCAGGTTAGTTTGCTTGGGCTGGCTTTGAACCTCAAGCCTCAGATCTCAGCCTACTCAGTAGCTAGGATTATAAGCATGAGCCACCAGCACTCAGTGAGTCACCTTTTTTAAAAACAAAAACAAACAAAAAACCTCTGGGATTGTAGTTAGTCTTTTTTTTTTTTTTTGGGGGGGGGGGGGATGGGGGGAGTTGCTTGTAGGGCTTGAACTCTGGGCCTAGGTGCTGTTCCTGAGCTCTTCAACTCAAGGCTAGCACTCTACCACTTGAGGTACAGTGCCACTTCTAGTTTTCTGGTAGTTTATTGGAGATAAGAGTTTCACAGACTTTACTGCCCAGGCTGGCTTTTGAATCATGATCCTCAGATCTCAGCCTCTTGAGTAGCTAGGATTACAGGCATGAGCCACTGGTGCCCCACTATAGTTAATCTTTTGTGGTTTCTAAGTAATTACTATGTATATATTTTGTAGTCAAAAATAAATATTTACTGAGGAAAATACAATTTTAGAAACTGAAGAATTGATCGTTATAGCCATAGTTAGGATATAATGCTTAAAGTTTATTTTATCTAGCTACTTATTGATTCTAGCTACTCAGTAAAATGTGAACAGTTTTACTGAGAGAAATCATTAAACTCTTAGACATGAGTTGGCATAAAAATATATGGCTTTCAGTCCTTGTTTGACAGCCTCAGACCTGGTGATAACAACTATTGTATTAGAAATTGATCTGTTGTAGTCAGTGAAGACAGTTAATTCTGTATTAACTACATTGTTTGCTCTTTGTCATTTAAAAGCCATACTAGGAAAAAATGTTTTAGTCATTTTTCATTTGCTAGTTAACATATTGTGGCTGACTAAAATAAACTTATTTTAGTCGTTACAGAGTAATTTGTTTTTTTGAGACAGGGTCTCCCTATGCCCCCTCACAGTCCATCCTGCTTTTGCCTCTTAAGACTAATTACAATTAGCTTCCATGCTTGTCCAGAAGTGCTTTTTTAGTATCAGTTATCAATGTAGTTTTCCTTACTCATTATCAGAACTTTTGCTAGAACTTGAAAAATGATAAGATGCTGGGAGTTTTGTGGATCTAAGTGAAGAGTATAGTAAATCAGAGATTATTTATGTTGGTGATCATTTTTTTAAGTTCATAGTTTGTTTTATATTAAGCTCTTATAATTGTCTCCATTTCAAAGACTATTTATTTATTTATTTATTTATGGTGCCAGTCCTGGGCTTGAACTCTGGGTCTGGATGCTAGTGCTCTACCATTTGAACTACAGCTCCACTTCCAGCTTTTTATAGTTAATTGGAAGTAAGAGTCTCACAGACTTTCCTGTCTGGGCTGGCTTTGAACTAAGATCCTCAGATCTCAGCCTCATGAATAGCTTGGAATACATGTATAAGCCACCAGCATGCAGCTAGGAGGTGGTTTTTGAGACAGCACCTTCCTATGTAGCTCATTCTGGACTTGAGATCTTCCTGTGTCATCCTCCCAAGGTCAGTGTGTCAAATGTTCTGATTATAGGCATGGGCTACTACACAAGGCTTGGAGTAGTGTTTTTTTTTTTTTTGTTTCTTTGTTTTTTTTTTAATTTTGAAAATTATAGGCAAAGATGTGAAAAGAGGCAGTGTCTTTGATGCAGAGCTCACCCACTGTTCCCTGCTGCTTGGCTTGCTCACCGCCCAGTGTTGCAGTTAATGTTCCAAGTTTCTGAACAGAAAAAAACAAAACAAAACAAAATACCAGAGACCTGTGAAGACATCACATCATTAGGAAGGTAATAGTTTCTCACATTCTGTTTTTTTAGGGCTCTTAAATCATATAGCCTTTCCCAAAAGATTGCTCCCTCTGGTTACTGAGGAATGATGACAATAAAAGGCCGAATTGCAGTGTCTCCATCAGCAGTTTGCTCTCTTGGGATACACGATGACAAAATCTCCTGAAGCGAACCACTGGTCTGACCTCAGTAACAGCATAATGGAATTCTAGCTGTTTTCTAAGTAAAAAGTGATCAAGCTTGTTTATGAAGGATGAGATTAAATCAGTATGTGTTACTACAATTTGAGAACGTTGTGCTTTAGTTGGGAGTAGTTTGTACAGGCTTTAGTATAAGCCAGCACAAGATGTTGACCTAAAGCAGAGCTAGCTTTCTGGTATAACATGTGTAGTGCATCTCTGATGCAACAACCAATTAAAATGCCACCTGCGCCTTTCCCAGCTTTAGTTTAGGATTTTTCTTTTTCCTTTTCTCATTTCATTTTTTTTTCTGCTATTCCTGGGACTTGAACTCAGGGCCTGGGCACACTGTCCCTGAGCTCAATAGAGTGCTTACTTAAGACTAGTTCTCTACCACATGAGCCATAGCACTACTTCCAGCTTTTTCTGTTCATGTGATACTAAGGAATCGAACCCAGAGCTTTGTGCATGCTAGGCAAGCACTCTACCACTAAGCCACATTCAAGTCTTAAAATTGTTAGCGTCTCATTTTCAAAGTACTACTCATAAATATTGCATATCATAATTGCTGTGAAGCCACTTACTCTCTTCCTACAGCAAAGTATACAATTGGGAAGTGTTAGAAAAAAGTCAATTCATTTTTGATAAATTCTAGGTTTGTATCCAGGGCTGATGAAAAGCCTGGAAACAGATCCTCCTTGGGCTGATTGAAGATGTCATATCCCAGGATTGCTTTAAGGGTATTTTTTAATGTATCTTAGGGATTTTCCTAACATGGATAGTAATGATTGCTTTTCTTTGTTTTTTTAGGATATAACATGAAATCAACAAGTAATTTAGCAAATAGCTGTTGCTAGGATTTTAATGACTATAAAAAGTTCTTCCTATTCATTAAATTCTCAGATAGCCATTATCTGAAAGTAGTATCAATTCAAAATACTGCTTCAGGGCTGGGATGTAGCTCAGTGGCAAAACGCTTGCCTAGCAAGTGCAGCATCCTGGGTTTGATCCCCAGTACCAAAAAAGAAAAGACAAAAAAATACAGTTTAAAAAAATCCAAAATACTGCTTAAAATTGGTCAGATCCATCATCCTCATGAGACTGTGACTGAAAATGTATTAAAACTGCTACTTAAAATGAGATGTAAATAATTATGTTATTCAATAAGAAAATTGATAGTACTTAAAATTGGTTTTCAGTTTCGTTTGTAAAGTTGTTTTTCATATTTTTTTTCTTTTTTGGTCCATTGTGGGGCTTGAATGCTGGGCCTGGGCACTGTCCCTCAACTTTTCAGCTCAAGGCTAGCGCTCTACCACTTGAGTCACAGTGCCACTTCCAGCTTTTTCTGTTTATGTGGTGTTGAGGAATCGAACCCAGGGCCTCATGCATGCGAGGCAAGCACTGTACCACTGAACCACATTCCCAGCCCTGTAAAGTTGATGAAGTGCTAATAATGAGAATTATTTGTAGTGGCTGTATTTTAGGATTTCAAATGACTTATTTTGAAATAACTTCCCTTTCTACTGTTACTTATTGCTGTATTCTTTTTTGACAGGTGCTTTGAAGTTGGAAATCGAAACTGAAAAATTATGAGAATTGAAGGTATTTTGTGTAACCTGAGTTAAATTCAACTCATTTAATTCCCCTTAAGGTTGGTTGCGGAGTATAGTTTTTAGATTTTATTATTTTGTTTATTTTTATGTATTGGGGGTCTTACTACATTGCACAGGTTGGCCTCTTAACTCCTAGATTCAAATGATCCTCTGCCTCAGCTGTTTAAGTGGGAGTACAGATGTCCTGCCACATTCAGCCTGTTTTCTAAACTTATTTAATGAAGAGACTTTTGGTCTCTTGTAAATTTTACTTTAAAAAAAAAAATAAGTATGCTGGGAGCTTACACCTATAATCCTAGCTTCTCAGGAGGCTGAGAACTGAGGATCGAAGTTTGAAACCAGGCAGTTAGGACCATGAGACTCTTATCTCCAATTAACAAGTCTCAAAGTGGTGGCTCAGATGGAAAAGCCTTGAGGTGGTGCCTTGAGCCCAAAACTCAGGGACAGCATTTGAACCCTGAATTCAAATATCAGAATGGCAAAAATTTCAAGCTGCTTCATACAGGTTCTTTTTGGGAAATCCTTATTCATATATTAATTGTACAAGAGGGCTTTCATTGTGACACTTCTATACTTGCATACACTACACCCTTCAACAGGTACCACTGTTCTACTTTTATGTGCCATAAAGTACTTCAAACATATTCACCTTCATTCACCATCTCCATTCATCTACTCCACAACAGAGCCTGTTTCTCTTTTACTTTTTTTTTTAAGCATATATTAATTGTACATAGGGGGTTTTACCATGGTATTTTGAGCATCCATGTATTAGATTTTAATCAGGATAACCTCTAATGTTCTCTCCTATCCCCATTCCCCTACTGTCAACGGCTTTCAGTGGTTTTTCCTTATGTCATCTTCATATATAGAAACAATCTGTTATGATATTTTATTCAACACCATTATTATCTTTCCCTTCTTCACTTCCCCCATGCCCCCGAATAGTCCCATAGTTAAAAATTATTTGTATATACAATATATATGCACATGCATGTCTTTACAGTCTAGATTAT